ATCCTATATTCTTAGACGCGTGACCTTGTTTAGAAACAAAGTTATTTAAATGTAAACAATGCCTACGCTTGGATCGCGTCACGGTTTTAACTACACTACCATCCAGCACGCCACTGGGCATGCTATACTAAAGCCTTGAGTGTACGTTAAGCACTCACCGAAATATCAATGTTATTCACTCACCGCCCAAGTGTCGGGTCCGTAGAGGAGCGTTCTCATGAGCCCCTGATTACACTACCGTAGAGGCGCCGCGTACGGCCCCTGGCTTGGTTTCCTTGTCAATATTGTATGATGGTCCTTAAAACGAACTTAGGCGCCATAACGTTGACAGGGGAATGCAAAAGACGGGGAGCCGGTGGCTGCGCCTGTTGAAATTTTAACTCGCCACTCGTTATGTATGACGCCCGATTAAAGGATACCTAGTGCTTAGATAGCCGCTCTGGATCTCTGGGCGCCAAAACCTTGCGAATTTTTTTAAAAATATTTTTTGCAGAAACCGCCTCTGGAGTTTTCTAAATAACTTCCCAAACAATGGCGATCATATGTGCGGTGTCAAAACCGACTTTTATTTTTATATACCTCATATAGAGAAGAATCAAATCGCGCCCTGGCGGGGCGCTTCCCTTGCGAATTTGTAAAAAAAATCTCCTGCAAAAATCTCCCCCGAAGTATTTTCAATTTCCCAAGTTTCCAAGGCGATTCGATGAAAGGAGTAGAAATTCATAAAGACAGACAGACAAACATACATTGTTTATATATATATATATATATATATATATATATATATATATATATATATATATATATATATATATATATATATATATATATATATACAGAGAGAGAGAGAGAGAAAGAGAGAGAGAGAGAGAGAGAGAGAGAGAGAGTGATGTATATATTCATATATTCGACTAACAGTATATTGTGTTTTGTGCGTCCGTTTTATAATGGACCCTGATACTTAGTATTTGTGTGTGTGTATGGAGAATATTTAAAACTTATGTTGTAGTGTTTGCGTAATTAAATTGTCATACTTTTGTGATGATACACAGTGATATAATTCAAACGCAAAGAATAGACATTTTCAGTCGCAAATATATTTAACATACATGTGTTAAAGGGAGGTAATGTTTTGACATACCATCAACAATTGGTGCAGCTCCGTCCGTCACACAGTTGCCTCTCTTACACAGCTTTTTAACGAATAAATACACATGTTAAATTCAAATACAATACACCTTCCTATACACACGTCGAGTCATAGATTTATATATGAAATTAGTCATGACATTTAGCATACAAATATAAACTTTAAGTGTCATATACACAAAATTTGTCATGCTACTTGCTGGAAACAGTTGTCTAGGAACCCATTCCGGAGCCTTGGATCGAACTATCAATTCGCTCCCGCCCAATTATAACTATACTTATTCAAGTCGGTTTAAAAGTACCCCCCCCCCCACACTCACGCCTCCTTCAATTGGAATGTTTTGCGGCACTTTTTACCAGTCTCTGTACTGTAAAAGTTTTTTTTTTTTTGTGTTGCAACACAATTGGTGTAGAAAACAGTTAAATCAGTGTGTAAAGCCATTTAGCAGTTTACTTTCTGAACTTCAACTATGAATAATTTAATATTTCAAATTTAAAATGAGCTTTTCAGTTTGTCTACATCTTTAACAACTTAGGGTCGACGCCCGGAGTAGCCGCGCCATCCTTATTCCCATAGCTACGCCACTGGCTGGATATTTTTTTTTTAAACGTATATTTTTATTTTATGCACAGTTACAGTTATGGTATTGTATACATATATTTATATTTAATTTTAAATGTAATTTTTAATTTACAGAAGAATCTGGAAGAGTTAGTAATAAAATCAAACACCAATTTTAATGAATATCCAACTATTTTAATTTACAAAAATGGACCCTTTCAAAAGTTGAAGTAAAACAAGAACGTACCATTCCACTGCCGCACGTTGTACCTTCAAAAGCATAAGAAAGATGACACGACTTATCGACAGGGTTGTAACAGTACATTCCCCTGCAGTATTCACGGGCTTTTCGACTCTGTAAAAATATAATTTTTAAAATTATTTTTCATTATTTTTATAATAACGGATTCAATTGTGCTTCATATTCAATAGTGCTATTTAAACTTGTTTAATCTGTGAATCTAGATATTACAGTAACACTAATTACAAACTTAACTCAGGATCTTAAAGTAACAATGTTCCCGACGTTAACAATAACCCAACCCGACTGTAGATCTTACAGAAAACTAAAAATGAAGAGGCGTTATTGCTTTGCAGGTTTTCGGGGTAAGAAATATATATACATATATATATATATATATATATATATATATATATATATATATATATATATATATATATATATATATATATATATATATATATGAACGTGCGTATGCTTTTTAAAACCCTTCTGTCTTACCCTAATGATTCACCTATTTTTACAATTTTTAAAACGATTTTATTTTAATAAATGGGGTTAAATAAACTACACATTTTGAAAAGCTTTGAATAAACGTGCACCCATAAAAAGCAGACAGAAGAATTGATGGGAAGACGTAATCAGATGAGTTTAACACTGAGAGGAATGGAGGAAGATGATTAAAAAACAGTTGTGACAGACCAAAACAACGGCTATGATTTATATTTGGATATAGATTTAGAATCAAAACATTACATTTAGTTAAAGGCTTAAATTTTGGCCTTGTTAAACTGATGTTTAAATTAAAGTTGCAAACATAACTATGTTCAGGAAACATATTTTAATTTGAGCTTGAGTTGTTATTTTATTTAAGGGGAACAATTTATTTCTGCATTAGTTTTTGTTTATTTTAAATAATGAACTTAATTAAGTTAATTAAAACTAATGTAGCTTTTGTGTTGTTTTGTTGTTTGTTAGGGACGATGTATGCAATGATAAATTACCTGTAAAGTACACTAAACGGGTTATTTCTTTGCAACCTTAATAGTTAACGCATTCATATTATTGGAATTGTGCACCATGTAATAAGCATTGTCTACTTATATTTTATCTGAATTAATACAGGGCGGGGGGTTAGGGGGGTCATAACCCCCCCATAGACCCATCGGTATATATATAAAGTATGAGGGGGGGGGGGGGTGTAAATCGAAAGTTTGAGAGGGGGGGTTGCAAATCGAAAGTTTGAGGGGGGGGGGCTGCAAATCGAAAATTTGAGGGGGGTGATGGAAATCGAAAGTTTGAGGGAGGGGTGGGGTGCAATTCGAAAGTTTGTCCCCGGGTAAAAATTTGAACACCCCCCCCCCCCCATGAGACGATCCTGGCTACGCTACTGATCCGTACAGTATAAGTTCTGGTTGTTGTCGCATACTCTCCCATCCGACCAACCACGCCATTCTCTACTGAAGACAAACTTCAAATATTTTTTGTACGTACTATATTATTATGTTTTTATTTTATAAAAAAAAAAAGACGAGCAGTTAATCAATGACAATGATGTAGAATGTAGCCCCTATAGAGTATTTTAAATAACTGCCCATAACCGTTCTCAACCAAACGTTTTGTAATATGTGGTAATCTATAAACAACCGCTGCATTGCAGTGTGTTCTAGGTTGGATTAAGACTATGGAAGCAAATCGAAAAAGAAAAGCAAGAAGAATTCGGAATAACGGCCTTTATGGCGCATAATAAGTTGACACGTAATACTTAATTGTGTTGGTGGGAATCTCTTCCTACACAAAATATTATAAACACACGAGAAGAAAGAAGTAATCTATTGTGTTAATTTTTATTCCTAAAAAATAAACTGCTTGATATGATAAGGGCTTACTCTACAATCATATGAACCGTTGCCCCTGAGCAAGACACATTGCTCTGAAGGGGGATAGAGTTGACCCAATATCTGACCAGACACGTCTGGAATCTGTGGATCTTTATCCAGTAATGTTGTCAAACACTGCTGACCTCTTCTACGATACAAAACAAAACAAAAATTTGCAATTATTCTTTAGAAGTCAACACTCAAAATAAAATATATAATTTTATTTTAGATGGAGGATAATTACTAAGTATTAAAGTTTGTTAAGCACTGTCTTTATGTGTGGAGGTGGGGGGGGGGGGGTAGGTGGAGCTAACCTGCTTTTAAACCGTAAACAGTTCGAAAATATAAAATAAAATAAATAAATATTTTTTTGCCGCTCACTCGTATATTATTTTACTAATAATTAAAATGTATACCAAACGTTTTGGTCCAAATGCCATATACCATGTAATTGGTAAAAATCAACAGTAGCGTTTCCATCTTAATTATACTTTAACAAAAAATTATAGGCATTTCGATAAATGAATTAATGCTTAATTTATTTTTTATTACAACTTAGAATAAAAGGGGGGATTATTTCTTGGAACAGTTTTAGTTATTGCGAACAGTAGCCAAATTATGTATATATATAATATAATATAATATAAATTAATATCAGTATAACAATTGACAAATATGATATGACCTACATTAAAAGTAAAAATTACTGATTGTTTTTTTTTTCGGGAAATACTTTGTTTTGTATAGAATGATTGAATCATTTTTCTAAACAAATAACTTGAAAACTTTACATTAGATACGTTATCTAATTGCACACTAGATACGTTATCTAATTGCACACTAGATACGTTATCTAATTGTTATGAAATGTTTTTTACGAACTATGATAACAAAATTAAAAAAAAAATTACTTTGTTTGTAAGAGGGTGTTTATGTATGTGTTGAAATAACTAATGCTGCAATTTGAAAATTTCCACGGATTAAGCTCCGTCTCGGGAGTCACATTGTAGTTGCTTGATGCTCCCATGATATAGCGATCACTTCCGCGACACATATTATCTTTCCCATCTCTCATGGCTGATAAGCTTGTAGACACAAAAACAGTTTTCATTATTTTGTTTAGACAACTTGATAAAATCGGCAAAATATATAGAGAAAAACTTGAGGGGGGTGCAAATCGAAAATTTGCCTCTGGGGGGGGGGGTGACACCATTAAGTGCCGCACCAGGTGACACCTGACCTGGCTACGCCACTGGGTGGACAGTCTCTGTAATCTGAATGGACAGAGCGTCTTCTCAACACTAAGCCACCCGTCTGTGTTTCCATAACATGAACCAGGTATCGGAGCTTGATGGACTCAGTGACGTCCTACAGATTCGAAAATTAGAACTCTGGACTCTTGGATTAGAAGTCGTAAGATTTGCTGTTCAACCACATTGTCTCTAATGTATTCTAAATACACCTGGTAAGCTTTTACCTGTGTCCAAGTTCGCGTGCTGCTGTACGGATCGAAGTATAACATCCCATTTCCACAACAACGGATGTGCTTTTTCCATTCTTTTCACATGTAGTTCCAGTATAAGCTCGACCTTAAGAAATAGTTTTAGTTAGGTTTTACGTTGCAGTTGCGTCAAATATTTAAATAATACATTAAAAATAAAGCCAGAAAACAACAATAGACATAAAGATAAAACCAATATTTCAGTTTATTAAATAAAACAATATCAGACGTCTAAACTATCCCCGCCAATTGAGGCAAAGCCCTGGCCATTTAGAGGTGCCAAAATTCGACTGTTTAATTTTAAATGTACCTTTTAAAATATAATTTTGTGCATTTTTGTTATGTTAAAGTTTTTGTAAAAGCAAGTAATATGGCTACATTCGTGACCTAATGCTGTCTCTTTAGAAAACTTACAATCTTTAAAACGACTTCAACAGTATATTACGCTAATTTTAATAGCCAAATAGGATACAAATAACACTTCATATACTTTTCCATCTTCTATGTCGCAGACCCAAATGATAAACATATTTTACCTTGAGATATTTTGTCTAGAGTATTTTATCTAAGATAATTTGTCGTAGTCACTATATATATATATATATATATATATATATATATATATATATATATATATATATATATATATATATATATATATATATATATATATATATATATATATATATATATATATATATATATATATATATATATATATATATATATATATATATATATATATATATATATATATATATATATATATATATATATATATATATATATATTGAATAAAAAAAAATTACAAAGCCTATATTTCTCGAAATAATGAAAATATTTCCGTAAAAAATAAAGTTTCGGAGGGCAACTCAAAAAAAAAAGTCACAGTTTATAAAAATAAATTTGTAACGCGAGGAAATCCTTCTGTATAATTTCGCCGCTTTGCAAATGATGCAATTAGTATTTTTTTGACGATTCAATTAGAAATTGAGATTAAGTGGCGAAATTGGATGCAATTTATATTTACTAATGGCGTATTACTAATGGCGTATATATATATATATATATATATATATATATATATATATATATATATAAGTGATGTTCATCAATATGTAAGTTGCAGTTAGTGTTATTTGTATACCATTTAGATAATATGAGAATATGAAATCAAGCTAATTAAAACTATATCATCGCGTATCTAAATTGATTAACAAATAACTTTTAAATTAATATAGCACATTGACTTTAGCTTTAACTAGATTTACCCTTGTTAGACCATGTACATTTTCTAACACATTTATCATCATCAAAACAAATTGTCAGTATTGTTGTTTTTTGTTCCTTCACTATTAGCATACTTTCCTTAAACAAAGTTTTTCAATAAACTGCGACTTACCTAAGATATCTACACTGCGGTCTGCGTTTGTTAAGTTGTATCTATGGGAGAATACCAACAAAAAAAAATTGCCAGTCACTAATGTTGTGCTTAGTTGTTTGAAACGCATTAAAATTCATACTTTATTAAATTATTACCCTATGAAGCACATGACGTGGTCATACTGTGAGAAAATAGTGTCATTATTTGATTTAACAAACTCGGCCAAAATGTTTAAAGCAGTAGAACCATCCACATAGTTTTCGGCGAGGGTTGTGGCATTATTGGAGAATGGAGAGGCTTCGGAACTCTGGATGTGGAAAAATATAGTTATATTTCCTACAACATCAACTCATTAAAATTAAAAACGATGTTAATTATGTGAATAATTATACTCAATTCTGAATTACTATTATCAGACTAACAGTTAACATGGCCAAGATCTAATCTGAATACGTTTGTCATCCTTATTTCAAGCAATCTTCTGGTTATTTATGAGCATTGTTTAAATAATCCATTGAAATAAATATTTAATGTGTGTTTAAAAAAAATTGTTAGGCTATGAAAGCAAATTTTGTCCTTTATTTTCAGTGAACGGAAATATCACTTTACGCTATTTACGATTTCTGAAAAAAAAAAACAATTCCACCATACCGATTTATTCAAAACATTTCAATAGGTCAAGAATCGATGAAGCTGGATTGTGACATAATATTTGGCTGAATTAGCTGCTCAATAAACTTTAAAAAAATGATCTGTTTCCTTAATATTCTTAAATTTTTTCGCTCTATTATAGGTTACACACATTCTTTATATTCGTTTCGTGCGCAAATTACTTTTTCCATGCGAATCTATTCTATTTAAAAAATGTAATTAACCAGAAATCACTCCCGCTCTATTCTATTTTTAAGCTATATATTATTCCTAAATAACCACTCCTAAATGTAAAAATTAAAGATTTATTTAAATTACATATACAAAGGGAGCTGTTTAAATGTTAGTATTTCATGACGCCTTCCGTTATTTTACCTCACAGAGGATGATCTTGTTGAGGCGAACGTTAAGCCTGAATGATGTTGAATTTATGCCTTGGTATAAGTTATCGACCTGGAAATACACAATTTTTATAAACTTTTATCTTTTTTTTTTTGAACGAATGTTTGTTTATTTGCTGTTTTCATGTTTGTTGGATGTGTCAAATCTTGCGGTTCAATTTTTCCTCATTTTCAATACAGAGTGTTTCTTTCAAACTGTCCAAATACGTTCGTTTTCGATGATAATGCAAGAATATCTAATTTTTAAACTATTTAGAAAATGTATTAGTACTTAAAATACAGGCCTAATTAAAATATTAATAACTAGCCATCGGTACCCGTTTTACGTGAATTATAGGCCTATATATTTTAAAATGTTGTACTTATTTGTGAAAAAATAAACTATGAAATAGTTATTGGTCAAAACGCAATGTGCTTAATTGCACGCTGAACGATATTAGTGACAAAGCAAAGAAATAACTAATAAGCTAAAAAACATAAAATAGAAACACACTGATTAAGTGACTTAAATGATTCCGTTAAAAATCTGGCTATTCAATGGTCATTATGTTGTTTTTAAGTAATGTGTATTAGTTTGACCGATAAAATTGTATATATTTCATAGCGTACGTCTTGATGAGTAGATCTATAGATCTAGATCTAAATCAAATTTGAATGAAGTACTTCTTTTCTTTATAGTCTAAAATCGGAAGATTCACATATAAAAAAAAATTGTTTGACTTAGTGTGTCTCAATTCCGCACCACCTGCGTGGTATTAAGTACACTATCGTCTCAGCTATTTAGGTACCTTATAAAACATAATTTTATCCCAAATTAACCAATTACATAGGTAAACAACCAAAGATTTCTATAAAATAATTAAGGCCTGAAATAGTTTAATATAGAAATTATTATTGGAATAGATTCTAGAGTAGATAGAGTTTAAATCTAGATCTAGATCTAGGTCTTAGCGTCTACGTCTAGTTTTGTGCGTAGATTATGTAGTCTAGATCTAGAGATTCTAGATCTAGATCTAGAGATCTAGAATTTAAATAAAGTAAATTTTATAAGTATAGGTCGAGAAAATTGTACTGTATAGTTTTCATAGCGTACGTAGCTCTAAATCATATTTGAATGAAATAGTTCATTTTTTTATTTTATTCTAACCTCGGAAGATGACGTCATTAGTTTCGTGCTCTTTCCCTAGTGAAAACATTAAGCGAGGTCATTGTTAAATGCGTCCTTGTCCCAAGTATAAACACTTTTCCGGTTGCATAATTAAAAAAGGAATAGAAAATATGTGTTCTGATGGGAAGTGTATGAGAGGTTTATATGTATGTACATTAAAAATAGTGTTGTGTCCGGCTTTGTTGACGTGTGTGTTGTTGTACGGACTGAACGAGGATCAAAAGCAACGTTTTTTTTTAAATAATTAACTGTTCATTAGTTTTTATTTAGTTATCAAAGTATGTTTAGGATTGTGGCAAATCGTAAGTAAGACGTATAAGAAAATAATGTATTTAAAATTGTAACACAATCTAGATCACTTTTCTAGCTTACAACTTCGAACACACCTATAATTCTTCTGAATCAACTTCAATACCCAACTGGTGTATAAAATATGTAAAGATGACTTTACAGGTTCTTACCCCATTAAAAACAAGAGCAAAATATTTCTGTATGTCTCTTATGGCGTTGTCCCTCACACCCGCTGCTCTAGTCAGGAAGATCTTCCAGCAGCCAAAGTCTACTACAGCAACAACGTCGATGTAGTAGTCTGGTGTGGACTGGCGTTTTTGGCGAGGATGTTCAAAAGGAGGAATTAATTTCTGCCGCACAAAATCAATGTCTTCAGGTATATTGTTGTCTTCTTCAGCTTAAAAAAAAAAAGATATAACCATGTTTATAATGTTAGCCTTTGTGTTTAAAATAACAAAACAATATGATATTTAAATAATTCAGTAGTAAAGATTAATTAAGATGGTGTACAGTTATCCGACTTACTCGGAAACATATAGTTAAATCCGTTAAGAGGATGAGTTTTTTGCTCCTGAAGGTCGAAATGTTCAAACTGTGAAGTCACATCTCGCTCAACACGCGCAAAAGGCGACAATGTGTACACAACACCGTCGTGAGTCAAAGTACCTCTCTGAAATTTTACAAACAATTTAAAACGGAAAAAAAATTAAATAAAATACGTCTAGGCTTGCTTATATAACTAAAATAGAAGCGACTTCCAGAAATGATACGTTACTCTTTTTCAATATTATTTCATGTAGAAGAAAATCACAACTAAGTACAAGATCTTACACTTGAATTAATTTCAATGTTTGAGTGACTTCTGAAAACTGGAATAGGTACTATAACCCCTCTCTGTTATCAAAAATAACGATAACTTGAGTACCGTTTTATCTTAAAAATGTTAAAAAATTATTTCCGGTCATCAGAAATCACGAAATATTTTAAGAATCCAGAGAAAACGTTTTTATATCTTTGTATAAAATTGTGTCTACCTAACTGAAATAGTACTTATGTTGTCTTTATTTTATCGTGTGATTATTTCATTTTCCTGTATGATTCTGTTATACTTAAACTAAAGCGGGAGTGATCTCCCATAAACTTTCTCGAACACTATTATATAACTCTACGGATGATGGCAACTCCGCATATATACATCATTTTAAATCAATTTTTAAATACTAATATGTATAATAGAATCTCGTAGAAAATAACTTGTGTCGAATAGTGCATACAAATTACTACCTTGTAAAAAAAATTATAAATTTTCAAAGATTGGTCGATGTCACACTAGTTCACTTTTCAGTCACTTTACACTATATATATATATATATATATATATATATATATATAGTGGTACCTTGAGATAAGAGTTTGATTTAAAGTATATTTACAGTTATACGTGTCTATAATTGAATTTTTTTTTAACAGACGGGTACGCAAGTTGTGAAGAAATTTTTCAACTTAGGTGTTGAATTATACGTTACCAGTGAAAGTCGAGTTTTGTTTTCCCAAAGGTCGTCTATTCTTTCAATCTGTAGGGCTGCGTTGCCTTGCACATCCTGGTAGTAGCCGATATCCTGTGAAACATGCTATGTTAGATGTGGTATTGGTATGGCGTTGAGTTATTTATAGATGGGTAAAGAGAGTTGATGGTAATACATTTAAATACTATGTTTATTTTATTAATACATTATTTTAAAAAAACCTTTTTAGTAACAGTCTTTTAAATAAAAAAGAATCTACAGTATTTTCTTTAAATATATAATCATGTGCCATCATTTAAAAATACAGAGAAACTCCTAGGTTACTGTATTGGATAGTTTTTCTAAATTACAAATATTTTTACAAGCTCTTATTTAACTCACTTCCTCGTCAGTCGTCAGTCATTCTGTCTAGATCGAAACGCCCGAGCGAAATTTTAGACACTTCTAACTCACAGATGCGGTTCGTAGTTGATACATTTGTCAAGACATGAATAAAATGCAACATGGCATTACATTTGACTTAATTGGTTGCCTGATTAATTTTTTATGATTAATTAAAGTTGTGTCCAAATAAGTAGGCTGTCTCATCAAACTATTCCGCGCTATTAGACACGCGTCATCACGTTCAATAGGTGCACAATGGTGTTTACAGGGTTCCCACAATTTTTTTACCAGAAAATTACCTGCTTTTCCAAGAAATTCCCTTCTATTTCAAGTATAAATTCCCTGCTATTTTTCATATAAATTTCAATTCGCATAACCGTTGAACATAAACTTGCCAAATTTAATATAATTAAACCACAAGAAAGCAGACATTTTTAGGGGTGCCACTCATTTTTTAAGTGAATCATATTCAGAAAATTCAATCCCAAAACTGAAATTTTTAATCCCTGAAACTTGATGTCGCATCAGAAATTAAAAAATAAATAAATTTGACAATACTTTTTTTTCAAGACATTTGTTTCATAATGCTATATTATTCTATACATTCAATTAGGGGATTTTAACTTTATAACAATCTTTAAACAAAAATTAATATTTAAAAGATTGTGCATATAACTAAAAATAGTTTAAAATAGTAGACGCATCTTGATCCCAAAATGTTTTATTACATTTCTAGAACCTCCCCCAATACAAAACAACTGTTTATAATAATACAATTAACATTACTATAGTGAGTTAAGCTGATAATAGTCAGACTTTGAAAACTAATCTAATAAACCGGGAGTGATCTCCCCTAAACTTTCTAGAATATTCTTATATAAAAAACAGGGGATGGAAACTCGGGATATAGACATGAATTTTAATCCATTTTAAATACTTAAACTTTTTAAAATAGAATAAAATCTCGTAGAAAAAAGAATTGCACACCAGTGAACGCCAAATAAAATGTGCATAATAGTGCGGAATATTATTAGTACTTTATAAATTTAGATTAGTTTTTGAGAAATTGGAAATAGCGTAAATTAGTTTTTCCGTTCAAAGAAAATTACTAAACATTTGACAGAAGGTAGAGAATTAGATCTTTTACCTACATGTGAAATTTCACTTATCTATCTGAAATAGTACTCAAGTTATAGGCTTTTGAAAAATTTAAAGTAAAAAGTACCACTTCCGGTTATCGGAAATCGCTCAAAAGTTGATACGGATCTACGATTTTGATAAAACACTTATATATGAAATTTCATCAACCTAGCTGTAACAGTACTCAAGTCATCGTGTTTACAGACACACACACACACATACACACACAGACACACACATACACACATACACACAGACATACGGACGAGAATGCAAAACTGTGTTTTTCCGTATCAGTGAGGTGTAAAACGTCGAGATTTGCCAAAATCTCGACTTTTTTTTGCACGATTACAAGACTTTCTCTATACTTCGTATATACGAGAAAGTAAAAACTTGTAGAAATATACACTGCAGTTTGTAACATATTTCTAACTATTTAATTTTAGCACTTCCTATATTGAGTTCAATAAGTTGTGTAATTCAGCCAAAAGTGAGTACTTATTCACTGCAACAAATAAACCGGGAGTGATCTCCCCTAAACTTTCTCGAATATTCTTATATAAAAAAAACAGGGGATAGGAACTTGGGATATAGACATGAATTTTAATCCATTTTAACTCAATCCGTCCCATGAGCCGCGAGATGCGGCTTGGGCCAGATTCACCGTTGCCCGCAAGCCGCAAGGTACGGCTCGACACCGCTAGTGATCATTTCTTTAACAAGTCATTTAACATGTAAAAAAACTACATTCTTTAACATAACTCACAGTTATCTTCATTTACTACTATAGAAATTTCTTTTCTGTTCATTTTGATGTATAATACATAAATAAATCTGGTTAGAAAAACATATGAGCTATAACTGTTTAATTAGGTGAGGGCTGTGTAAAAAAAATTCATCAACCTAGCGGTAATGGTACTCAAGTTATCTTGTTTACATATACACAGATACACAGACACACAGACATACACACAGACATACGGACAAGATTGCTTTATTATGTTTTCCCGTATCAGTTAGGTGTAAAACTTCGAGATTTCCAAAAATCTTGATTTTTTTTTTTGCACGATTACAAGACTTTCTCTATACTTTGTATGTACGAGAAAGTAAAAAACTGTAAACAGCAGATATTTGCTTAAAGACAAGATGTTTGAAAAATCTCCCTCATGCTATTATTGTACTAATTAATACCTTAGTAAAGCTAATATCTAAAATAAAAGAAGTTTCTGTTATTATGAAAAAATACTGAAACAGGTTTTTTATAAGTTCACAAAAATGAAAATTCTTTTTTTTCAAAATTGACCTTATTTAAACTATAATAATCATTCGCACTATTGTAAACTTAATGTTAATGTCGTTTCTTAGAGGTACCTGTATTATTTAAACTTAAAGGGGCCTAATATTAATTTTAACATTTTAGTTTGATAGAGATCAACTGGAACAACTGAAATTAGATCATAGGCCAAATATGACAAAGTATCCAAAAGTGCAAGAAACCCAACATGACGAAAAAAAAAGGAATGTCGTTATTTTGTAATGAGCTTATCCCCGTCAGCTTTCAGTTAAAGTTTAACAATAGACTCACCTCAGAAATAACGACAAACTCTCTAGAGGGAATCGGGCGTCCATCTTTGTCAGTTGACAGTGTATAGATGGGCGTGTCCAGACGGATGTAAGGCTTGCGGTGCATGCAAAGCTGTGCCGTTGTGTTGTCGGTGATGACCAACGTTATGTTAACATAGTCGGGTAGTTGTTGATTCAACACATCACTGGTAGTGTAGTTTAATCGCACTGAGGTAACAGAGACCAAATATATTTCAAAATACCACAACAAATATCAAAACGTAAATTTTAAAAAAAATAGACTCATATCTATACAAATAAAAACAATGTATGTTTGTCTTTAATGCATTTCGACACCTTTCATCCGATCGTTATGAAACTTTGGAAAGTAGTCTAAAACACTCATAGGGAGCTTTCGGCGAGAAAAAAAAATTTCAAATTTGCAGAGTGGCGCTACGGCAAGGAGCGATTTGATTCTTATTAATGTTCAGTATATAAAAATAAAAGCAAGTCGGATGCCTATTGACACTGATCATCTGAGTGCCATGAAATTTTGGGGACATGATGAGTATATTTTCGAGAAGGTTTTGCGGAAAATAAATTCTTATGGGTGGCGCCCGGGAGGCTGCTATTTTCATCCATCTGCTGATTGGCGCCAAGTGTTTCAAGCGGCTATTTTAACACTTAGTATCCGTTAACTGGACGTCCTGCATAGCCGGTAAGGGGTAGTTTTATATTATGCGTAACTACAACAGGCCATGCCGCCGGCGCCACGGAGATTTACGTGACCCGAACCACCCCGGGCTCCCCTGTGAGCACTATGGATCCTACGTTCGTCTTTTAAAAAAGGCTACATACATTAAAGACACAACGGGCAGCAATAATCGCTGCCTATATTGAATCAGGCGCGTCCTCTGACGCCCTGGTATGAGGCGATTTTGCGCCACAGGCTCACCCATAAGCTCTATGGTGCCGACGTCCGTGTCAAAGAGTTCAATAGAGTATTGATAAAATGGGTTGCTAAACTCGATCCCTAAATTGAAACTGGCGTGTCCAGTGGGTGTCCCGGTATGATGCGATTTGACGCACTGGACTATCCAGTGAGCACTATGGCGCCTACTTTCGTTTTAAGCAGCACCCTAATATATTGACACGGTGGCACACAATATTCGATGATTAAACCGAGCAAGTGGACGTACACGGCACCCCTGCGGTACTCTAGCAAAGCGCAATCCCCCGCGACACATGTGCAGACGCTGATGTGTGTTCTACCTCATTTTTGGAGAGTGATTAACGCAGATTCAAGGCTTTCGGGGGGTAGTGTAGGCGATCCTTCGCCACGACACATTTAATCCAAGAAATATAGCGCAGGCATTGTTTACAACAAAATAACCCAGATTTAGAAAACGAGATCACGAGTCTAAGAATATAGCATTGATGAAACACTCTTAAAATGTTTCGTCAGACTTTCTTCTAGCCACGTGGCAATGCGCGGGGACGGGCACGCTAGTAATAATATATAAATTTAATATATATATATATATATATATATATATATATATATATATATATATATATATATATATATATATATATATATATATATATATGTTTATATTTTTATTTTTATTTTTATTTATATATATTAAAATCATATGTACCTGTTATGCCAGAGCTAAATCGTAATAGGAAAATGTGAGCAATGACCCAGGTTACAATGAAAGTCAGCATTTTGGCGTGGGTTTGGGTTAGAGCATGTTCCACCACACTATTTATGCATGTTTCACTCAAACTACTTCAAATCCAACCCGATGGTATCTTGATGTAGTTTCGTAGATCCCGTTTTTTTTCTCTTCTTATCTGTCACGAAATGTCTATTTAAAACGCGCTTGATGTCATACGTCTGGCTTTGAAAATGTTCGCACAAAGATCTTGATTGTTATATTCGTAGGCTAAGAGGGATAGATTATATCTTGTTTATTCAACAAGACAACTTGAACGACAGAGATAAATCTTTGCATCAGCTTTTTTGACATTTTGAGCTGTGAGACGCAAACAATGATATCACATGCTAACAATCAACTTAAGAAAATTATTTACATTTAACTTCCTCCTTTTGCCTTAATTCGAATTAACCGGGCTGGAGATGGTCCGTATGAGATAGGCCTACATATAAGGTTATTAACTGTTAACAACATATCTTGACACCATTAGTAAGCTAAAGTAATGGTAAAATTATCATTTTGTACATGTGGTACCCTGTCTTCATGATCATAGTATATTTGTATTATATATATTTTTCTGACGAGTATGTAGAGTTACTTATTTCTGTTTTTAAGGATCTCATAACGGACGTTGTTCTGACCCTGCTCAGCCTCCCCTTTATGTTTATAAGACCTACTTGGTTGTATTCTCTCTGGAATGGCGTTTGACAGAGCACATCCATATTCTGGAATAGTGCCGGATAGAGTCGAATTAGTTGAAGATATTGATCTACAAATGGCAATACTCTCTTGTGAGATTAACTTAGGTTTGCCTTTCGTTCCTCCTGGGCGTCTCTGTCCTGGGCTAGTATCTCCACCTTTCCCCAGATGTATCCAATCGTCTTGGTGTCTTCTTCCAGATAACGTCTCCGTTACTACATTTGTCTGCCTCTTTTTTTCCCTTTGGATTCCAGGTGAGGGCCTGTCTTGTTATGCTGGATACAGGCTTCCTGAGTTTATGGCCAATCTATTTCCCTCTTCTCTGGAGGATCTCTACTTCAGCTGGCTGTTTTTGCCCGTTGCAAGATCCATAGTATCTCGTTATAAAATTAATGATTAACGCAATGATTTTTAACGGCACGACGCCTTACTCCATCAATGTCTAGAGTACTAATCATAGACTGTATTTTGTAGGGAGACGGAAAGCTCTGATAGGCCATTGTTTACTTTAGGGAGGGTAATAAAATTAATATCTTATAATGCTTTTGAGCTACTGAAAAACACAATGCCTTCGTAAATAACATATATGTTGTTTTTACATATTTAGAAATATGATGTTAAGGGATTGATAAATGAAAACTGAAAAAAAAATTAAATAAAAACAGAAGTGATCTCCCCTAACTTTCTCTAATATTCTTAACGAGAAAAATGGCCCGTTGAGGAAGGATACAACGGGCGCTAGGTTGATAGTGGTGTCTATTTTCTCAGTACTTTAATTTCTACAAAATATAGTCATAGGCAATTCATATGTCGGGGTCTATGAATCAGATGAACTCCACTTCATCTGTTCCATGTGTCTTGGGCACTAACAAGATTAAAAAGAAGAAGAACATATTTTGATACCAGGGCGCCACTGGGCAGTATTAACTTAACTTAAGAAAACGGACTCAGCAGCCAGTCGGATGTAGAGTTGCTGAGCTTTTAATATAACATCGCACGCTAGAGAAATATGGCATGTAGTTTAATAGGGTTTAGTCTGTGTGTGTGTGCGTTTGTGTGTGTGTGGGGGGTGCATTCTTTCTAATGATCTATTGACCCATACACACGTGCACACACTTGACACACTTGGCACACTTAAACACAGGCCTACACATATATGTTTGGTAATTAAACTTCAAATGTTAAACGAGTTACACTTCCCCTAGTAACTTTAAGTCACTCCCATAGCTTCTACTATAAATACAATTAATGAGAAAGTTTTCTACCACATATAGTTGGTTGTGTAAAAGCAAACAAGAACCATCGCTACATGTTTTACATTAATACATGCATTATGTATATATATATATATATATATATATATATATATATATATATATATATATAAATATATATGTGTTCATATTTATAATATACGTGTTAATAATGCATAACATTCAATTTGTTTTCTTAGTAAAGTCATCTGGTAACTTCACATTTACCTACTCCTAATGGAGTAGTTTAGTTTAATCTTTCCTGATACATTCTTAAACCAAGCTAAAGCTAAATATTACTTACCTATCAATATGTTCTCTCTCTCTCTTTGTGGTTGTCTAAAAAAAAAACTCCTAAATATTTTTAATTAAAGATACATTGTTTATGTTTTAAAGTATAAGTTAAGGTAATGGAAAATTACTGGTGCATAATAAGATCATCTGTTTAAGTTACGAGTTAAACAGACATCCACTACCATTACATATGAAGAGATAGTGGGGTCAGCACTATACCCAGCCGCCTTTACTTTCCCTAATGTAAGCCAAGTACTCGTTAGAGCTGGGTGGACTCAGGAATTTGCAAAGAACTCGAGCCGTTTTCCAACTCGAGATTTCTGGTTAGCAGTTTTGAACACTACACATGCGACCACACCGTCCCATACTCAGTTAATAATTTATACCTAACTTAAGGACATCAAAGATAAAAGCAGATGTTTAGCAAATATTGTTATTCATACTTACTTTTAAATATAGTAAAAATATTAAACGCGCTTTAAATCTACTAAGTTTAATAAACTGAACTTAAAAAACAATAATTTCTTACCTCAGGGGTCGTCCATAAATGACGTCACACTAGTATGGGGGAGGGGGGTCCGTAGTTTTGTGACGGTGTGTGATGAAGGGGAGTAGGGGGGAAGTTCAGATGGTGTGACGTCACTCTTTGCATTATAAAAAGAATTGCTATAAAACAAGTGTTTAGCCGTTATTTCGCGTTTTAGAACACTGTTTTATATATTGTAATAGGGGGGGGGGGGTTGAACGCTGAGGTGTGACATTATTTTAGGGGGCGGGTCTGGCTTTTTGTGACGACGTGTGACGGAGGAGAGGGGGTGGAGGAAAAAAATCGTGACGTCATTTATGGAGGACCCCTCAGAGCGTTATTGACTTACGATTGTGTACATTGATCACGGTCAGTGCCAACGAAATCGATGTTTGTCAGATTCCTGTTGTCTGGTTCTGTTATCTTAATTCTTACACATAGAAACTTGGTGCCCTTGAAGCAGTACCACCATCGTTGCCAGTAAATGGTGGAAACATTCTCCCACATCAACAAATGAACAAAATTCGCAACGGTAGCGAAAACGAAATCCGTTTTATTTTCTCCACAGCACAAAACAAAAACGCAATCGCGATGATTTGGGGGAATGAATACACTTAAACTAATTAGAAAAATAATTTGTTTTGATACTTGTATGACTGCACGAAAGACTTATTGCGTGTATACTTACTTATGTCCTTAACTAATAACTTGTCTAGACTTTACGTTTAACTCATCTTATTCAAACTTTCAATTGCAAAGGCTCATCATGATTCTAATTTTAATAATCCCTATTGTAAACTCAATCATATTTATAATGTTAGCCCTGATGTTAATACTAATCCAGACCCAAAAACAAATCCGTATAACAATTCTTATTTTTATTTAAGTGCTGGCCCAACTCAAAATGTTACTAATGTTATTAAAACCATTTTACTAGAGCCAGGGGCGTAACGAGGGGGGGGGGGGCGGGGGGTGCGGAGCGCACCGGGTGACACCATTTAGCGGGGTGACACCAAGGCAAAAAATAGCAAAATATATAGAGAAAAACTTGTGTGGGGGGTGCAAATCGAAAACTTGAGGGGGGGGGGGGAGGGTGCAAATCGAAAATTTGAAAGTTTGTCCCTGGGAAGGGTCTGTATGCCTTTGGGGGGGGGTGACACCATTAAGTGCCGCACCGGGTGACACCCGACCTCGCTACGCCACTGCATGACACTAACCCTAACTACTGTACTAAAAACTAGCACTAATGTAGACCTATTTTCAAGCCCGTGTACATGATCATACAAGTACCAACACATGATATTTTCCTGTTACGCTGAGATTACCTTGAGCCACCTTGGTACAGGTGAGACAACAGGACCGTGCCACGGTCGAGTTGTTACACACCTGTCTGTTATAGACCCTGGACTTGCAGGTCTGGCCATCGATGGACGCTACGTCCACACAACAGGTAGCGCAGCATTGGAAAGCGAAGTCGGCGTCTGAGCTGCATAGGCGGTTGTCATAGTAACAGTTGGCTGCCCTGTCTCCATAGCTACATCCTGTGCGAAAAGATATGGGTATCTATATAATTTTACCATTTTGTTTTTTTTTTACCCCAAACCCTAACCTTAAACGAAATTATAGAAAAATACATCTTCATACCCGTGTCAACCCCCCCCCCTTCCCGCGTGAAAAAAGTCTTAAAGAAACACCAGAGTTCGCACCCCCACCCCTTGCGACGCCTCTGGGGCTAGGGATTAGGGTTAGGCACTAGGGTTAGGGATTAGGGTTAGGCATTAGGGTAGGGTTATGCACTATGGTTAGGGATTAGGGTTAGACATTAGGAAAGGGTTAGGCACTTAGGTTAGGGATTTGGGTGGGGTTAGGGTTATGGTTAGGCATTATGGTTAATGTTAGGGTTCATAGTTAGCGATAAGATGAAATCTAAAAACATTAGTTCTACATTATATACCTATTTCGTAGTAAAAAGAATTTAAGAATCAAAGAAATCGCCTCGCTCTGATTGGCCAGAGTTCGAAAAACCTTCATAGGGTTATTGGTAGTGAACTACGAATAGCGTTAGCTTTCGAATATTTGTTTTGCACAAATGGATAATATATTACACATTGGAGATCCACATTATGATAATGCTGACACAGTATAAACTCTATAGTAAACCGATCTTGATAGTACCCAGAGGCGTCGCGAGGTGGGGGCGGAGGTGTGGACCCCAGCGGGTGACACCATTTGGGGGGGGTGACACCAAGACAAAAATATCGCAATATATGTAAAATACATGTTTTTTCCCCAGTTCGATGAATGATTAATTAGAGAAAAAAATGTATTTTAAGTAGCCTACATAATGACGATCCCGACAAGGGAGGGCTGGGTGACACCATGACGTAAACATGCAAACTATATAGAAAACAATGCTACCCTAGTTGTATTAGTATTAAAATGAATACTAACGCTTTTATTGTGAGAGGTGGGTGACACCAACTGCAAAATTTACACAGAGAAAAAAAGAAGGGGGAAGGGAAACACCATGAGTTGTCGCACCGGGTGACCCCTGACCTAGCGACGCCACTGATAGTACCTTGTATACTGGTCTTGACTTGATTGCACGAGGCACAGCAGTTGGAAGCGACATCAGAATTATAACATAGAGCTTTATCTTTGTGTACTGCCTGATGGCATGGTAGGCTGTTGACGATGAAGTTATTGTCTCCAAGAAAACAATCTGGAAAAAAACACGAACAGCGAAACGTTTATATAGGTAATTAAAGTTCCCTTTTATGGCAACGGACAAATCAACTGCCAGTTGAAGTAGAGATCCTACAGAGAAAATGGAAATGGATTGGCCACACACTCAGGAAGCCTGTATCCAGCACAACAAGACAGGCCAAAGTTTCTTCCAAGCATCTTTTCGGGGGGGGGGGGGGCTCTGAAAAAAGTCTAACGCCCCCCACCCCCCGAACGAAATAAAATTTATATAGAAAATATTTACTTTTAACAGTGTCCGCCCCCCGAAGAAAGTCTACCGCCCCCCCCCCCCCCTGAAAATTTAAAGTGCCCCCCCCCCCCCCCGGAGAAAAAAGTATGGAAAAAAACTGAGACAGGCCCTCACCAGGAATCCACAGGAATTGAGGAGGAGAGGCAGACCAAGAAAGACCTGGAGACGTGACCATGAAGAAGACACCAAGAAGATTGGATACACCTGGGGACAGTTGGAGAGACTAGCCCAGGACAGAGACGTCTGGAAAGCTCTTGTCAGCGGCCTATGTCCCAGGAGGGACGACAGGCAAACCTAACCTAACCTAAAGTTCCCTGTACGAACTTGAAGGTCTATGAAAGAAGGAATTTATTTATATATCATCAAAATTAGAAATTTAAAGTTTGGTTTACTTATACATTTTATGTGCCCACAACCAAATAAATATATGTATTTATTTACTTTCAGACATAACAAATTTTAATTGGTTTTTCTTCTATATACTTTATTGGCTCATACGCACATGTATGTTTTATTTATTTGAAAAAAAATATCCATAAGGTTTTCTTTAGTGAGCTTATAAACAAACCCTGACTACTCACCTCCAAGAACCGGTGCCCTTGGATCAGTTGTACACTTGCCTAGACTGCACCACTAGAAAATACAACAAACAGTTTTAATGGGATATGTGTTATCTCAAAATTACGTCTTCCTTTGGGTATTAGAAGGTGCAGACATTTATATATGAGTGATAGCATAGCCTATAAATTATATTGTAAGTATTATGAATGTTTATAAATTGAACGTCAATGTTAAAATCAACTGCGAATAATGATAATATATGGACTTCGAATAAAAGCATTTCGATGATAAACGATAACATATGAAGGATATTATATGATAACGAATGGATTATTTTCTTCTTTGTATTCGTTCTTAGATATAATATTGGAGGGGATTTCCTCCAAAACAATTAAGTAACACGTGTCAACATGTTATGCGCCAAAATCAAACAATTGCTGACTTGTAGTTTGTTCTTGGTTGGACAAACGCTATGGAAGCAAATCCAAAAAGAAAATCAGGCTGAAATCGGAGTCAACGGCATCTATAGCGCATAACCAGTTGACACGTATCCTTAAGAAGAAGAAGAAGATACATTTTAATTAGGCAAATATAAGCTTTATAGACCAGACAAGGCCGACCCTTATATGGGCATTCAAGGTTACAAATGATAAAACAAGAATAACAAGCAATACACCTGCAAATTATTGCAGGTGTTTAATAGCATATGGACCTTCATATGTTAACATATGGACAAAGAATATTAACATAACAAATATCGATACCAAGAGGTAACTATTTTATAGGTGTCCCTGAAACAACCTACCTGTCCATCGCCTTTAAATTGTTACGCATGAATAACGAGCGATGATATATGCACATTATTGCCAGAGTTTCTTCCAGGCATCTCATCAATTTTTACCACCCCACCCCGAACGAAATGAAATTTATATAATTTATATAGAAAATATATACTTTTAACAGTGTCCGCCCCCCCCCCCGAAAAAAATTTACCGCCCCCCCCGAAAATTTCAAGTGCCCCCCCCCCCCCCGGATAAAAAAGTCTGGAAGAAACACTGATTATTGCAGGTGTAAAATTGCATATGGACCTTAATAGGTTAAGCTATAGACCAATAATATTAACACAACAAATATCGATACCAAGAGGTAACTATTTTAGAGGTGTCCCTGATATAACCTATCCGTCTATAGCCTTTAAATTGTTGCATATGAATAAAGAACGATAACATATACAAATTATTGCAGGTGTAAAATTGCATATGGACCTTGATAGGTTAAGCTATAGACAAATAATATTAACACAACAAATATTGATAACAAGAGGTGTCCCTAAACAACCTACCTGTCCATCTCCACAGGACGAGCCCTCAGCCGCGAAATGTTTCTTGCAGGTGGTGCCACCTGCAACCTGCGGGTCAAGACACCACATGGACGTGCAGATCTCATTGACTTGACTGAAGGTACCACCCTACATTTTATAATATGTTCAGTCAACAGCCTTATAATGCATGTGTGAGACATGCGGTACAATACACGGTGACACCAAATAGAAAAAAATTGTCAAACTTATTGTGAAAGCAATGTTTTATCCAGTTTAAAAATAAAATAGAAGAGGTCAGAGTTTCTTCCAGGCATCTCTCCCCCCCCCCCCGAAAATTTTTTACCGCCCCCCCCCCCCGAACGAAATGAAATTTATATAATTTATATAGAAAATATATATTTTTAACAGTGTCCGCCCCCCCGAAGAAAGTCTACCCCCCCCCTCCGAAAATTTCAAGTGCCCCCCCCCCCGGAGAAAAAAGTCTGGAAGAAACACTGGAAGAGGGAAAAACGGGGAGGGGGTGGGTGGAATGGCACCTTTAGTTACTGCACTGAATGACGTAATATTTATGTCACTATGTGGATTGTACCGCACCAAATGGCGCCCTAGTAATGTTACTATGTAGATTGTAACTAATTCGTTACCACAACTTTCAAGCGAAAAGAAAAGTAAGTTTCACGATGAACTATCTTTCATATAAATTATTGTTTTCTAAGGATTTAGAGCTAAGTCGTCTTCTTCTAAAATGTAATATAAAAGGGACTCTTCTTAAATTCAATTATGCGTAACAGAACTTAATTAATATTTAATGCGAAGAGTTATTATTATTTTTTTATGTAACGTATATAAAAAGAAAAATATTACTACACCATAATCTCAAATAACAATCATTATCTATTCTCAGAGGCGTAGCGACTCTTCCCGACGCCCGTGGACAAACTTTCGATTCGGCGCCTCCCTCGGGAGCAAATTTTCAAATTTCACCCCCCCCCCCTCTCAAACTTTCGATTTGCACCCTTCCCTCTCAAACTGTTTATAATGCAATAATGCAGCTAAAATTACATTTTAATTTGTTTTTACACCCCATTTTGGCGCCCCTAAGGTCGGCGCCCTGGGACATATGTAACCCCCTGCCTCCCCCCATCGCTACGCCTCTGTCTATTCTACTTAGAATACAGTTAAAATAAGAAAAACATACATGGTGAACAGCTTAACATTAATTTAAAAAAAAAATATTGTAAAGAAAATTGCCTTCTACTAGCTTTCACATCACATGAGAGTACGGAAAAATAGGGTTAAGATAGCTCAAAATGCATTGATTGGTAAAAATAAATGATAATCTCAGGTGAGTTTTATTATTCAAGCATCATTAACATAATTTCAAGATAAAGAACTTACTTTATTCATGTAACTAATGGGTCAAGTTCAGAGGCGTAGCGACCCTTCCCGGCGCTCGGGGACAAACTTTCAATTTGGCGCCCTCTCGAAAACAAATTCGCAATTTGCACCCCCCTCAAACTTTCGATTTGCTCACCCCCCCCCCCCCCCTCAATCTTTCGATTTGCACCTCCCTCCCCCCTCAAACTATTTATAATGCTAAAATGACATTTCAATTTGTTTTTACAACCCATTTTGGCGCCCCTTAAGGTCGGCGCCCGTGGAAATATGTACCACCTGCCCCCCATCGCTACGCCTCTGGTCAAATTATATTCTTCTAAAGTAGATACAATCACTTAATAAGTAAAAAAATAATACATCGTTTCTAGGCTCGCACGCATCATTAGCGAATGAAAAATATATCCATGAATTTGAAGTTATCAAAAAAATCTAGCGTCTCTTGTAAAAGTAGCGAGTTAAAATAAAATAAAATGTATCTAGAATTAAAAAAAAAACAACATACGTAACACACACTGGAAGACCGGCCGTACATCAGACGACATTGTTCGATTGGCGGGAATATTTGTCCAGGAATTGAATTCAGAGAGTTTGTAAATTCTGGTAGTGGTGGCCAGGTCGCTGTCAAACAATTTTGTCTGCCAAGAAATTAAATATTAAAATTTGTTACAATTTATATTTTTCTAGATTGAACATAGAAATAATAAATGTTGTTTTAAAATATGATCTTTACCAAATGTAGAAAATTAAATTTTAAACAAATTTTTGATATAAAATATTGCAACTTTTTTGTTGAATAGAACTGTATGTGTAATGTCTGTGTAGTCTCCGTGAATGGTTAATGGCTGAGTTTGTTAACACTTAAACCTGTGGATCTTAACCTATTTGAGGTACCGAACCCACCAGTTTCATACGCACATTCACCGAACCCTTTTTAGACGTCTATTTTTTGAACTAACAAAATCCAATAGTAAATCATATAAGTCGGGTGTGTGTGTGTGTTTTGACCTCCGACCTCCCTGAAGACTGACACACCAAACTCATGGGGTTCAATTGAACCCAGATTGAGAACCACTGACTTTAAACACGTGACAAAACATTAACACTTCTTTATCAAATCAATATTACCTTATGTCGGCTACATTTGGGATGTTGTCGATATAGGTTTTGATGGTGTTGGCCGAGCAGCTGGAGAAATACCACTGTGTGAACACGGCTCCAAGAGCCGGAGCCGAGCCGGACATGGTGTTGAAGCTGTTATCACTACAGCCGGTATTTTCTTCACTGTCGTGTTTGGCTCCAAGGCTGGAACGTAAAACATTGTCGTGAACAGTGTGAACTGGATACAATACATGTCATATCCTCAGCCCATCTGCAGTGTTTCTTCCAGACATTTTTCTCCGGGGGAAATATTAATATTAATATTTTATAAGGGGGGGGGGTGGGTGGACATTGGTAAAAGTATGTTTTCTTTATAAAATCCATTTCGCTTGAGGGGGGGGGGGTCGGTAGACTTTCTTCGGGAAGGGGGGGGGGGTCTCTGTCCCCCCCGAAGAGATATCTGGAAGAAACACTGGATACAATACCTGGCATATCCTCAGCCCATCTAGTGTTTCTTTCAGATATTCTTCTCCGGGGTGAAGTGGGGAGGTGTGGTAGAGGAGGGAGTACCTTAAAACTTTTTCCGGCTGCTTGAAAATTTCCAGGTTGGAGGTGTGCAAACACTAGTTTAAGTATATATTGCTATATCTTACCAGGATTGTCTTCAATTTTCCCGGTGCGAAAACCCATGTTCTTACCACCTTGTGTCCAGCTTGAAGCTACTGTAAGTGTCGTGAATGGACCTTGTATTGAATGAGTTTGAGAGTATGTGTGTGGTTGAATTTGTTCAATAAAGATGTTTATGATTTGAGAGTATGTGTGTAGTGGAATTAATAAAAGATTCTGAATGCGTGACAAAGCAAGTAAGGATGGGACGTTGGAGAGTATGTGTTGGTTGTTAAGGAAAATAGTGGAAGGCACTTTGTCTTGTTGTTGTCTCGTGCGGTTGTAAAAGTCTTCGTCCTGTCTGTCGTTGATGTAAGATGTAGTCACGTCTATTACATGTAATACAATATGAAAATGTAGAGCGCCGTCTTGTCTTATTTAAATTGGATCGTCGTCGTACATTGTTAGTCAACTTGCAGCATCGCCCATCTCCGAGTAACTCACATCATAGCAGTTAGGTTTACTTACCTTTAGGGACAAATTAGTGTTTTTTTTTGTTTTACCTATGAGCTATCTCGTGGGCCATTGTAAAACTGCTTTGAAAACCTCCGTTGTCCTCTATAATGGATGAACTAGTGCCGTCAGTGTAGCACAGTCTACCAATAAAAGCACGCCCTGTGAGGAATACGTTTTAATAGATCAGTTGTACCAAACATTGCAAGTGTACGAATCCTTTTTTGAGGCTAACGGTCCATGGGGCAAGTGAAGTAGAGTTAATCTGTTTCTTTGACCTCGGCATATGAAATGATAGTGTGGTCAGCGCTATGCCCAGCCGTCTTTTATTTTCCCTTTTATGAGCTTAATTACTTATCAGAGCTGGGTTAACTCAAGGATGTTCTACTGATTCGAACCCGGATTCGAACTCAAGACATTCGGGTTGCAATCTAGCGCTCTACATCTAGGCGAGCTGTCCCCCATAAAGTGCAATTTTTCTCAGAGAAGCATTTTTAGACTAACATAGGTGTGAAGACTTAAGATTTATAAATTAAAATTAGTAATAAAAAATCATTTTTGAATTCGGCTAAATCAAAATTTTATTTTCGAAAAAAAAAAAGAAGTAGCAAATGAAACTATTTATAGGCACTACGCGCGTTTATATAACCATCCGCTGGGTACTCAGTTAAGCTAAGTTAACTCATTGAGAACCAAAACTGATTTTATGGAAATGCAGTAAGCAACCAAATACAGATTATGATGAATTTTTTTGTTGGAAGTCACATTGTTCGATTTCTAAAACAAAAAAAGTTTGTATTTACTTCTGCATTTTTTGAAGTTACATTTCAAATTATAATTTATTTTTTATCTATTTTTTTTGGGGGGGGGGGGGGATCGTAACAAAAATTGAACAATGAACAATCGTTATAGATTGGGCGAAAAAAAGTTATTGCACAAAATAGCGATAAAAAACGAAATTTCAATACTAGGGGAAACTACTCTATTACACTTTTCACAACAACATTCTTAGCTGTGTTATATCCCCTTAATGAAATTAGAGAAAAAAAAAAAGACAAGGGTCTTCGGCTAAACCAGGGGTCTCCAAACTTTTCAGTCCGAGGGCCGCATTAACTATCAAATTTCAGTTCGGGGGCCAGTTTCTTCCAGGCATGTCTTTGATTTTTCTAGGCAAACTTTCTCAGCAATCACCAACAAACGATTTTTCCTTGGACGAAAAGATCTCCGCGGGCCGGATGAGAGGACTTTGCGGGCCGCATCCGGCCCGCGGGCCGTAGTTTGGAGACCCCTGGGCTAAACTATAACGTCATTTCATTGATTTGGGACTGGTGTTATGTGACGACGTGTGACAATGGGGACAGGACATTGCACAATAGTTAATAAAAAATATTTACTGCACATTTTCCAATCGGGTTTTGTTTTCCATACAGCAGAGGCGTAGCGACCCTTCCCGGCGACCGGGGACAAACTTTTCGAATTGCACCCCCCCCTCAAGATATTGATTAGCACCCCCCCCCCCGTCAAACTTTCGATTTGCAACCCCCCCCCTCCCCTCAAACTTTCGATTTGCACCCCCCCTCAACTTTTCAATTTATTTTTCCAACCCATTTTGGCGCCCCCTAAGGTCGGCGCCCGGGGACATATGTGTCCCCCCCCCTCGCTAAGCTACCGCCATACAGCTGCATATTATTTTTAAAATATGTAAACCTAATCTATGCTGGAATTATTTGATTTTTCAAAACTCTGGATTTGAATTGAATTTTTAATTTACTCTCGTTATTATTCAACAATGTAAGTTAATATTGTTAAACATTGTGTTCAATTTATATTAGCTATGTTACAAGACTTTATAAAATTATTTCCTTATTCTTCTATTTTTAAATTTTAATATTAGATTTTTTTTTTAAATATGATTTTCCTCAAGAGGAAAAGTACGTGTTTATTTACTTACCTTGAATATCCCCACCTAGGATCTGCATTGATGTCAATTTTCGTCTGCGAAATATACAAAATTATATGCGAAAATTGCATGTTGAAACAAATATTCATTAACACATTCCCATTAACTAAGTAGATATATAATTGAGCTTATTGTCTGACAATAATAGTATTTTTTAAAGTTACACTTTGTTAGAAAAGAACTTGTTTAATAATTCAAAATACAATTAATGTTAAAAAGGAGACATAAAATCATACAGATTTTTAAAATGAATGTATAAATATGATTTTATTTTTTCTTTTAGGTTCCCTTACGAGGTCAAGAGCATCGCATGATCAAACAATCCGTTCGATTCTTTACTTGAGCTGAGCCAGTCTCTAAATTTGTAGAGCGATTCATTAGCGTCTATTGTGAGTGAAGTCCCAAGAAGATTCTAAAGCAAACGAAATACACGAATTTTTAGTTACATGAATTTTGAATTTCGTAAATCAACTTAAAGATGGGATAAGGATAAATAATCCACATCTATATTTTAAAATATTTATTCACTCTTACTGAGTTTTTTCCATTAAATTGTATGATTCATTAAAAATTAGATACACGGGTAAGTAATAATGTACTTACATAATCAAATGAAACATCTACGAGTTGTAATTTCACCATAAAAGGATTTACGGAATTTCTAAGAGTACTAAACCTAGAACTCGCCTGAAAATATAATACGTTTTTTTAAACATTAATTGAAATAATTTTCACATTCTAAACTTAATGTCAGTGAAAGTGGCTGGGAGCATTGTTACAGTTATAAAGAGTTTAAAAAATTAATAATTATAAGTGAATGAATGTAAAGGATTTGTATATAATCTAAGACTATTGTTTTGTGAAAATACATATAAAAATAAAATAATAAATAACCCCTCACTAAATATAAATGTTTCAAAATATGTGCTTTCAGCAGTTAAATATTTTATAAGTTGGTGAGCTTTTATATATGATGAAAATAGTAGAAAAAATATTTTCGTAAAGTATTATATAACTAACATAGTTGTTGGCACGTATAAGGGGTATTTTAGACACACGGATAGAGTATTTGTTACACGTGTATCGATCCATATACTCGCTTACGTAGATGTACATGTGGTATTGTATTGAAGTATTGAGCTAAAATAAACATGAAATAAATAACTTTTAATCTCTATGGCATACAAGCTTGCAATCAAATTCTGATAAATTTACCAAATGATGATATCAGTGACTAGAGCAACACCTGGCCGGAACGGTAAATCAAGCGTTTAATAAAGTTTACCGATGTTAACATATTTTCTTTTAAATAACCCAATTAAATCACCTGCTGAAAGGACAACGATATGTATTCTTTTAGTTTACTTTGTGTCAATACTTTGAGAGTGTCATTATTTTTCTCTAATGCTGTTTCATTGACCATCTTTACCCATCTGAAAAAGAAGGAAAAAAAAATTTAGATTGTGTAGATGATATATTAATCACAAGAAAATTGATGAAACTTAAAAAAGATTGGTCTCAAAGTGCTATATTATAATATAATTAAATAGGAAACTCTCAAAATTACAGAGCTCAAATTATATAGTTTGTCAGACAAATGTAGATCTATTCATTTATTTCAAAGCGGGTTCCTTCACACTACTTCGAACAATATCTTTAAAATAATATTTTTGTATAGCACTATTTTGTAACATACTGTCTGTGTTTTCAATATAGTTTCTCAATATAATTTTTATCTTTTTAACACATTCTATTTATAGCCACCTAGTTATACCCTGAGTGAGTATAGCGCTAGACTGCTAACCCCATAGTTTCGAGTTCGGGTCCGGGTTCAAATTAGTGGAAAGTCCACCCAGCTCTGATGGGTAACTTACTCACGTTAGGGAAATAAAATGTGGCTGGACATAGTGACCACATTATCCTTTTATATGCCGAGGTCAAGAAACATATGAACTCCACTTCATCTGCCCAATGGAACGTTAGGATAAAGAGGAATTTTTACTTTTTTTTAGTTATACCCTATGATCTACCTATAACATGTGTATTGCTATAAGTAAAGTTCCCTTTTAAACCTGACGTCTATGGGACAAGTGAAGTAGGGTTCACCTGTTTATGTGACCTCGGCATACGAAGAAATAATATGATCAGCACTTTACCCAGCCGCCTTTATTTTCCTTAGCGTGAGTTAGGTACCCATTCAACTGACTTGACTCTGATTCGAACTCGAAACTACTATTTATAAAAGTAGTGTGTTCTTGTTATGCATTAGTTGAGTAAAAGGTAATCGAAAATCTTATAAGTCGAAAAGCTGTCAACGGCCTATATGGCGCAAAACAAGTTCACATGCAATACTTAATTGTATAGGACGGAACTCCTTCCAACACTAGAATAAAAAAACGAGCCAGAAGAAATGAATGTATTAATAAGCTATATATACACATTAACTTGATCAAGTAAACCAAGTTTCGAAATGTATGCACACATAAATACCTCGACTTCCCCCTCCCCTCCCAAAAAAAAATAATTAAAAGATAAATACAATAAAAAATAACATATGTGCTAAACAGTCTTAAAGGGGAACAACTAGAAGTCACAAGTTAAGCATTCATGGACTTGAATGCACATTTTAAATACATTACCCGTTAAACATTTCAATGTCTGTGAAAACCTTTACATCCACCGTGTACGTAGTTACCTCCCTTCGTGACCTCTGCGGCAAGCATACAATGCAGCCTAGCTCAAGTGCTAATGTTAGGGATATAATGGTTTATGTTAGATCTATTTATTCTATGGGGTAGCTTAGTTGTGTGTGCGTTGTGTGTAGCTTTGTATAAATGTAAGCATTGACAGTTTGCGTTTTCATTATAATGTAAAGTATATATATATATATATATATATATATATATATATATATATATATATATATATATATATATATATATATATATATATATATATATATATAAAGATATGAGTGTGTTTATGTATCCTAAAATATGTATATTATTTGTATATATGTGTTTGTATATATATATATATATATATATATATATATATATATATATATATATATATACTATCATAACATATTGTAACCCAAAAATTGAGTTAAAAAGTCTCTCATTCTATATTTTATTTAAACAAGAAGAAGAACACATACGTACCTATCAATGCAATAATTCTCCAGTTAAACGAAAAGGATATCAATCCTTTCATTTTTAACTGAACCTTTAAAAACCTAGTTGCCTTTGTAGACTTTGGTATACTGGTAAAGTGTGATTCTTATTATATCTATTTTAACCAAATCACCTGCAATTATAAAATAATCGAAGTTAAATGATTAGATTAAAAATGAATACGTTTTTCTGTCAACGTTATTCTATAACGTAAACATAATCATTCAGCTTTTGCCTTTGTCAAAAATAACAATATATATTATGATAATAATAATGATAATAATTTAGGCCTATATAATTATACAAAAAAAAATCTGATAATAATAATGAGAAAACGAAAAAAAAGATCAACGACTACAACAAGTCAACAATAATAATAACAATAATAAGAAGAAGTAGAAGAAGACGAATAGTAACAACAACTACAGCAACAACAACAACACAAAATAATAATAATAATAATAAAAATAATAATAATAATAATAATAATAATAATAATAATAATAATAATAATAATAATAATAATAATAATAATAATAATAATAATAATAATAATAATAATAATAATAATAATAATAATAATAATAATAATAATAATAATAATAATAAAAATCACAAATGATCGAACACAAATTACCTACACTTAAATTCAGAGACTGAAAAAACATGAAATACTACATACTACACTAAAGCTACAAGATTAATGATCTTTGTTGCGTTTATTTTTGGTCATGCAGGATAGGGCTAACTTTCGATCAATTCCGTTTTGAATTTCCCAAGAAGAAACGTACGGGGAGGTTATCCAGCATTTATAAGGGAAATAATTTAAAGTATGGCTACGAAACGTCTATAAAGGGCTTTTAAAGTTCAACGTGATGTATTTCTGTAGATGAGGATTTACTGAACAAATAGTTTTAAAAAGGAGCTATTAAGTTTCAGTTCAAGCATACAAAAACTTTGTTTCTTGTATACATGCTAGCAGCACTGCTACTGGTCGTTGCAACTTATCATTTATACAGCAAAATTCACTTAATTAAATATATATATATATATATGTGTGTGTGTGTGTGTGTGTGTGTGTGCGTGTGTGCGTGTGTGTGCGTGTGTGCGTGTGCGTGCGTGTGCGTGCGTGCGTATGCGTGCGTGTGTGTGTGTGTGTTAGTGCGTGTTAGTGTGTGTGTGTGTGTGTGTGCGTGTGTGCGTGTGTGCGCGTGTGTGTGTGTGCGTGTGTGTGTGTGTGTTTTGACGCCAAAAGAATGAATTGTTTCACATTGATCTTTAATTACCTAGATTACTTCCCATTTTTATTTTTAAGAGTAACAAAGGAGATAACTAGCAATTGTATTCCGTAAAGTTATTAAACATTCAGGAAATTTTGGAGGGGCGACAAAAAAAAGTAATAAAATATGATGTCGTTTTAACAAAAAAAAATACATTTTGTCATGTAATATGAAAACGTGGGTGAAAGGGAAACTTTACCCGCTGTAAAAATAATAGATTGAAACGCTTCTATCTCCTTCTCTCTTGACAACACCGATTTGTATAACATTAAATTTCCAAAATTAAACAATGTAGCTATAATGAAATACTCCTTTAAAAATACTTTTATTTATAAATGGAAGTCCTAAAAAGAATAATCCAGTAACTTACCTTATTTGTTTAAGTATTCATTGAGTAAAACTGCAGTTTTTAAATCGTAACGAAGACACACGCTCAGTTAAATATACATCCGTAGCTACACAATGTGTAGGCGTTTATTTTTTTAAGAAACAATTTCAGTTAAAACTTTATTACTTGTTCATCGAACCGTTGAAGCGTGGATCTTTATCTTTTCTATGAACTTAAGAAATTTCATCTAACCGCTTGACTGTATTGGCAGGTAAGGGGGACGGAGTGAACTAGATACTGGAGAAATATCATATCACATTGGTTTACTTCAGCTAAAGAAGAGTTCACCTTTTTATCTTTGAGCTTGGCATGTTGATGAATATATTATGTGGTCAACATTATGTTTTTTTTTTCTATAGTATGTTCACAATTTTATTTTTTTTGCTACAATTTGATTACTTATGATGTCAACCTAAATAACCAGTCATCAGATCAGAAGTCAATTATGAAAACTGTAATACTAAAGCGAATATGGCAAGGCAAACTGACGCTCTAA